ATCGTAACTCCTAACATGTGCTTGACATATAATATATAAAGATAATTTTTATATAACACATAATTTAGGTTTACTTTTTATTTTACTAAAATCGATGTTTTTTCACCACTGTCAATTTTTACATCACAATTGTGTTCAAGACCCACACCGCACCCTGAATACGTGTTTTAGCGAAAAACCCCGGGTACACTTTTCCATAAAAATCCCGAAAGAAGAAACAGCTGCGATGTAAAATGGGTTATAAAACATTATGTGACGATAATGAGCATAAATCAAACTTTTGGTTGTTTTCCAAGAGTGGCGGATTTTTTTTAATATTAAGGTAATAGTGAGGTTTTCCGTAGCGTAGCGGTTTAACGCTCTGTCTTTGTGTGGACAGGGTCGTGAGTTCGAGTCCTGGAAAACCTGATATTGGACAGTAGGGTTGTTCATTTTTACTTGAAAATGTAAATGGAAAATATGTTTCCGATTTAAAATAGCTAATTTTTGGGCACTGCGGTATTGGAAATTGTAATAGGAAATCTCACACACTGTTCTTCCATTATCATTATTATGGTATTAATAAAATATTATTATTTGGAATAATTTTATAACACTTATGAATGCTTTCTAATTTAGATACTAGCAAAATCATCGGTAGGAAAATTGTTGCATTGAATTTTGTAGATCATAACTTAGCGAACAGCTTTCATATTTAATACTTTCAACCACCCTGCACTTTAAGATATTAAGATAGAACTAACATGGATATATTTTGCCGAACAATGTCTATTACATGTACATACTTATAAATAACCCGTAATTTTTTGTTGGTTTTATATGCAGATCGGTTTACCAAATTGTGTTATGACAATAATAGACATTTTTGCGATTTCGAAAAAATTTTTATCGACCTAAGAAAATACTTGCTTTTAGAACAAAAGTTTTGAAATTTTTATACAAGAAAATTTTCTAATAAATGAGGCAAATTTTTTTTGACAATATTTTTTTATTTATTACCATTTTTTCAGGACATATCTAGTTGTGATTATCAATATTACTTCTAAATTCAAAAATCCGTATGTCTGCATTTCTGCTAAACGATCCAATAAATTTATGTAACTTTTTGAGAAGTTCTATGAAACTTATAAAGCACAATTGATTTATAGTTTCTCTACAAATCACTGCTGAAGTTTGTTCTACGATAAAAAATGCAACTATGCTTTTAAGTAATGGTTAATATTTCTTTCTCTATTATATGAGAAAATGAAATATAGACGAAATAATGGCTTTTGACATTAGCAGACAATATAAGAGATGACATGGTAATATATGGAATTTATTTTAATACTTGTTGCGAGAGATGTAGTATATCTTGTGGGTATAATATGCTTGGTGAGTTAGAGGTATAATGAGGTAATTATTTTTATATAATTTGTGTTATCATTTCTTTTAACTTACTTGTTAGTAAAGCTAATAGTTAAATAAGAATTATTAATAATACTCTATCCCTCATTACTTGGTTTAGTTATTTCTTTATACAATTTGATGCTAAAATAATTTTAATTTATTAATTTAATAAATATAAACTATTGTGTGCGTATTTTACAAAATACATGAAATTATTATTACATTTTATAGGGCGTCCATTAATTACGTGGGCGATTTCTAAGGATTTTTGAACGCTACTCCACTGGTAATACGTGGTGATTTTTAAAATTATCCCCCATCCCCCAGACAACATTACGTGTATTTTTAGTACATAGAAAAAATCGCAACATTTTGATTTTTTTTAAATTTTAGATTTTTTTTAATTGAGGTAAAAAATAAATACACGTGATATCTCACTAGACCTAGATTTTTTGTCAACCCTTTCCTCCCCCTTTAAGGCGTACGTGATTAATGGACGTCCCATTACTTGATGTAAATTATATACTTAATTTGCCTAATCACATTTTTTTTATTTATTTTTTTCCTTGATAAATTCATATTTGTCGATAGAGCTAAAATCCATTTCCATTCTACATGTTTGTTATCTAACCTTCACGCTCGAATTCGAAGACATGAATTCTGATTTCGATGTTTTCTTATTTTCTGCCAGCGCAGAACAAGAACTTTGTATAAATTTATCGTTTTCATAAAAGTTTAATAGTTTATTCTTTTATGAATTTAGGTTATTGAAAAGTCTAGCAGAGTATGGAAGTATGTTCGTAGACAGCTGTAAATTATATTGAAATTTTCGATTTTTTGCTATAGTTGACCCGAGCTTAATAGTAGTAATAAAATCTAATAAAATATGTTTGAATATCTCGAAGTCACAGTGGGAAGGAATTATGATACACTATTTTATTATATAATAAAATATAGTGTATCATGTAATTTTTTAGTAGATTTTTAATTTTCTTTGCTCGTGGGAGTGATGTGGCAACAAAACTTAATCATAAGGCTCATGAATGGGCCTAGGAAGTAGAAAAACAACATTAGTGGTTGTACGCAAGTATTTAATTCAATGAGTGAATCAGTGGTTTAGATCTATAAAAGTATCAATATTCTACAATCCGGTTTACGACTTTTGACTGATTTTATTTAGTTATAAAAATAAGACTTTGTCGTGTATATATACTATCAAAATATATTCAATGTGAATAGTATAATTTGAATATCTGATTATGTCTTTATTATCGCACGAGACTGACTAGGGGCAATTTTCACATGAATGACGGTTATATGCGGATGAGTTTCCTAAAAATAGCCGATGTTATATGGCATGCATGTTGTTTATTACATTTATTAGTATAGATAGATAATTTTATGAATTTCTATATTATTTAAAATGGCGATGAATACAATATTATTTATTATTGTGCGCCATATGGAAAAGTCAATAATTTGTAGTCATATTTGAAAAATCATTTGCAATCAGAACACAGAGTGCATTTTGTAATATGGTCATTAGTTATATTTTATTCGAAATTATTTGAAAATTCAGACTAATTTCGACAAATTTTGTCAAATGGACACATATAATATATATGAGTTTTTTAAAAGCTCTGATGAAGTTTACGCAACTATAAAATTACATGGAATGAACCATTTTTATGAGTTAGTTTTGCAACGACTTCAAAAATGTAATTTTTATCCTAATATATAGTAAAATGATAGAAGTAATTTAATTATGAAAAATCAATAAATTTTGAATGATGGTCCTCGGTTTTAGAAAATATACTGTATTATATATACACTTTTCATATTATATATAAAGCACGTGTATTTTTTTGTTAAATTTTAATTTCTAAATCTAACCAATTTGTCACCTAACTAACATTTTTGATAAAGTATAAAATTGAACTAGTGGAGGGTATGGCATCGTGCCTTAGGGCAAATTGCTGGAACTTCCCGTACCGTAACGAAATGTTCGAGGAATATGAAATGTTTACAAATAGGTTTTTATGAATATTGTAACATTGTCTAATATGACTTAAAAGAGTTATATAAACGGAACTGCAAATTTGAAATTATTTGTTTAAAGTATATTAGAACTTTAGTCAGAATTAAAATTAAAATCTGAATTATTTTCGATATATAAAAAAAATTTTTTTTGAAAAAAAATTGAAAAAAAAAATTGAAACAAAACATTTTTTTTTCCAAAATCAATTACTTTGTTAAAACAAGCAGAAAGTTTTTTGAATCATTTAAATCGGACGCTTAGTTCTCTCAAAAACTGCCATTTTTTGCACATTTAGCTCTGTATCTTCGAAATGGCTGGGCCTGCCTTTGCCAAAAACTAATCATTTTTTCTCCCAATCATTACAAATTGAATGTTTTCAGATCATTCAAATCAAATGCTTCATTCTCTCAAAAACTCGATTTCTATTTGCTGCACTCTTTGCTCTTTATCTCCGTAACTGCTGGTTCTGTCTTTGAAAAAAACTAATCAGCTCATCTCCCTATCAATAGGTATCGAATGCTTTTTGAACCATTCAAATCGGTTGATCCGTGCGCCCGAAAACGTGACTGGAAAATTGTATCCATACATACACACACACACATCAATTTTTTCTGAGATATGCCAAAATGTTCAGAAACCTTCAAAACGTCGAGAAACGCAAAAATTTTCAATTTCAATTTCTGGACGATTACAATAACTAACCCTACGGGAAGTTAATAATCAGAAATTGTTTCTATTTTAATATTATAGCAACTCGATATACTCGAATATTTATATACTCATAATATGCACACATCAAAAATTACCTAAAGGAAAATGCCACTTATAGGTATAAGTGGTCAATTTATTTTGGTTAATAAAAACTGAAACAGTTTTATGATAAAAAGTTAAAGAGTAGAAATAAAAAAAACATAAGAAATAGAGTAGATATACATTAAAACTAAAAAATGAAAGAAAGCAATAAAAGTGGCAATTTGTTTTAGTGACTTATTTATTTCCTTTACCTTTGACTCTGATAATAAACTATACATCTTTGTATACTTGAAACTTTCAATAGTTTTCAAAGTAAAGAAGCAAAACATACAATTTGCTTTCAAACTTTCACGAACACCTGAAAGTTTTCTGCTAATTAGAGAACCAAACACAATCACCGCAGGTAAAGGACATATTTGCACCTCTCGTCGTAATTTGAACAACGAAGTGTTTGTCCTATTTTATTCTAAGATGCTATTCAGCTATTTTATTTCTATTGACCTGTTGTCGTTTATTACCTTTATCTGTATCACCTCTCAACTCGATCTATCTATTTATTATTCTAAGTCGACATTCCTCTCATTGTAACTCCAAGTCGAAGTTTTCTAATCATGCGTTTGCCCATGCCGGAGTTTTGGAAGTTTTCACGGCAACGGTTGTGACGAATAGAAGTCTCGAGGGTAAATTGCACACTGGGAACTTTTTATGGCGCAAACAACGAACCGTTCAGCGTATATAATGGCATATGCGATGATATAGCTTTATTATGTGACGGATTCGCATATATTCTGCTTCAGTTTTACGTGGTTATACTTCAAACATGACGGGAGGAAAATATATGGAAAAATCACATGTATGGGACGTGGGTTAAATAGTGTAGTTACGTACCATAACGAATCCTGCGTTCTCTTTTTGATAGATTATTATTATTTATTTATTGTAACAACTGATATTAATAATACGTAATAATACACAATTATATACTAAATGGTTCTATAGTAAATTACATATAATTTAAAGAACACATATTATTCAATAAACTTATATAAAGTTTAGTGTAATGAATATCACACAAATTTTAGTTAGAGGCTGATCTTTGTATGAAGATGTCTGAGAAGTTCATGACAATATTCCTCAATGGTGTAAAAAAACATATTTCTTAAAAATAAGTCATTTATAAAATTTCTCATTTTCTAATACTTAATGGCAATTTGTTAAATAGCACAATATTCAGTACATCTAAAGTATTGGATGAAATAGCGAGTTTTAATGTGGTACCTTTAACAAGTTAATGTCTTAATTAGGTAATGTTTTATATTTGGGGTTAGAAACAATTAAACACATATGATGTGATAATTAGATTTGGGATTTGAACTTAAATTAAACAGATTGGCGTTATTTTCTGTGAAACAAATATAGTTTTCAAGTGGTTGAATTGATTTCTCAGTTTTAAAAGAATATTGCGAAGCTTAGATTTTTTTTTACTTTAAATGGACTGGATATTTTACTAGAAATAACGACTTTACCTTTTACATGCACAAAAAAATTCCAAAACTCTGTTATATTTCTAAATACTTAATGCATTCATTGCCATCGTTTCAAAGATGCTCGTAGAGTTTGCTAAAATATGTGAACTTTGCTAATCTAATTGCTAATATTCAATGTTACAAAGTAGTTCACATTTAAAATTCATCATTTTATACGCTAACTCCATGAGTAATAATATCAGTAATGTATTCAAATTAATTTATCAAAAGCGAATTAATGTCGAAAAAGAATGATTTAACATGCAATTCCTAACATTCTCTAAACTAAAGATATATTATTATTGTTTTAACTTCATATCTTTTTCATTGCTAAAATAAGCAAATATATTTTGTTATAACGTTTATTTTTTTACCTATATTTTTATATAAGTAAACAGGTTTTTATAAAAATATTGGAATCTTTTACTTTCTACTATTAGCTGGTTTTTAATTCATTAGCAGAAAACTTCAGTACTCTGAGGCAAGAACTAGTATATTTATTATTTTAGTACATTTGTTGAACAAAAATGTTCTGTAGTTAAGTATCATAAGTATTTTTTCTATTTTGAAAGAACTTGAATGATACTAGATTAATTTACGATTACAAAGTGCATTATATACAAGAAAAATCATGGAAAGCTTCAGTTCATTATTAATTAAAGCAAATTTTCATGATGATATTTATGATTAATGACGATAATTAGATTTTGATGTTCAGGTATAGTAGGGACACCTGAATTTGTATAATAGACACAAAGATTAATTTTACAAATAATATTTTAGTATATAACAATAATTATACCAAAAGGAAATTCTTGTATTTACCTTGCGTTTGTAAAATAACTAATGAATAGATCTACTGAAGGATCTGTGAAAAAAAAACGTGGAAAAAAATAAAATATTAAATTAATAATGAAAAAATATTTGAATTATAAAAATCATGGTATTTATGTACAATTTTTTTTATCAAAACGCCTCTTTCATATAAAACGAAATAGTGTGTTTATTAAAAAAAAAGCAAAAACTTGCAACAACAGAATTCCAACACGTTTAGTAAAACAGTAGAATTTTGCTAAAATCAACACCATTAAAAACCATAGGGTGTCGGACTAGTGGAAGTTTCGAATTACTAAATTATAGTGAAAAACTCATAACATATTGAAAATAGCGGAAAATTTTCTAGTAAGTTTCAACAAAATTGCCCAGCGCTGGAAAAATCGAATTATTAAAGGTGTCGGTCTAGATTCTATTGTATATTTATTATGATGTTTTTAAATGAGATAATAAATTGCCTAGTGATATTTCGTATATTTTCACAGTCAATTTCTTATTGCTCATACGCCCATATCTTACGTCTAAATATTTTTTCCATATTATTTTCCGTCGTCTTCAAGTCCTTCGATTTCTTCATAGTGTCTAGAACCCCCTATAAATTTTTATAGCTATTTTTCACGGCATATACATGACGTCTGCATAGATTGGCTACGGTCGGTGAACGAAAATTAGGATCTTATATCATGTTTTTTAAGAGTTAACCCATTACAATGTTTTAAAGGCAGGAAAGCTAGACTTGATTTATGCTAGTCATTCCGATGAATCATAAATCATACCTTTTTATAGCGCTTTGAATACTGAAGGTTTTGAAAGCTCATCGGACATATTTTGATAAATACATATTTATGATAATATGGTAAACCATGATCATTTTTGTACTTGAATTAGTTCAACTACTGCGTTGGAATATTGGATACAAATTAGTGTATTGATTTTTTGAAGCAAAATTTTTATCTCTTGAGCATAAGCTAAAAATATGTTATTTCAACGAGGGTTTAAGTTATAAATCCGATTGCTCGTCCTGATCCTTTACCCCTAACCTTCATATTCCTTTATCCTCAACGGACTATTGGATCCTTTGCCATCGTTTCAATGTGAATTTTCGAATGGCTTAGTAAAAGTTTATTTTATTTTCAGTTGAACACAGAATGGGCGCAAGTGGAAGAGATCCGATTGGTGAACGACGGAACTGGTTTGGCGTTTGGCATCATCGGAGGCCGCAGCACGGGCGTGGTCGTCAAGACCATCTTACCCGGAGGAGTTGCCAGCAGAGTGAGTTTCATCATTTGAAAGCATTTTATTTTATTGCTGCAGCAATAGAAGCTGATACTTCTCGATATTGGTCATGAATTTATTAAAGCTGGATGCTAGTTTGTATTTGTTATAGTTTTGTACCAATATGTCTGACTGATGGTAAGACAGGATTGTCTATATTGGCATGAAATCCAATTTTGTCGATCGAAGTGCCTAAATAACAACGATATTGCCAATTAAAGGCAATTTATTTTTTTTGTCCAAACTATAATTGAACAATGAATTTGTTGATTTACTATCTTTGTCATATTTGTCTCATTTACATTTGATGCTAATTATGGATGAAAAATATGCTAATATATTAGAATAAAAAGGTTGTAACCTAATTGGCTATTAAAAAGGTAAATACCCTATTGGCTACTGAATGACAATTTACCGAATGTTTTTTCAAGGTGGAAATATTTAGAATTTTTTGTGTATGGATTTTACGAGAAAATAACCAGTTGCTGTT